CACCCATTGTCATTCTTGTGAAACACATCAAACAGCAAAGCATGCATGCAAACGCGTTTAAAAAAAACATCAGGAGTTATTCCTTCCCCCACAAAAGCGGGCAGATAGCCCTTAGAGATTTCCAGCAGACACACCCTGTGTCTGACATTTTATTCTCTTCTCTGATTCTCAATGTTTTTCACTCACAGATGCCGTTTTGGACAAAGGTCACATGCATTGCAACATTTGACTGTGAATGAGCTGGCTTGTTTTTAATTCCTCGGCATCTGGTGATAGCGCCATCGTGACTGGAAGGGGGAATGCCAGAGAGAGCTTGCAATTGTTGGCTTACACTTCACTACCTGGCACTTGAACGCATCATGTCATTATTGGAAGTACTGCTATTTATAGACAGGCTCTGTGTCTTTCTGCACGAAGTACAACAAAGCACAAACACGTCCCGGATAACAGAGACATTAACGTCACTGAAAGAAAACAGCGTAAAAAAAATTGTTTCCGTTTTTATTTATTTTATTTGTTTTTGTCCTTCGCGCGTGCCGTAGACCAGGAAATGGCATACGATGAACAGCCAAAAACCCAAACAAATGGAAGCTGATTCATTTTTGTCAACAAACGCAAGCGTGGCGAAATGAACAGTCCGAATATGAAGTCCGCCTTTAACAACTCCCGCTGTGCATTGTTTAACACGCATTCAGAGGACTATCGATGTGTAAGTAGCGCATGTTTCTGACAGTTAGCAACAACCTGCTACATCGGCGGCTACGGCAGCAGTTATTAATCTGGAGGTTGTTTTTTTTAGGTTGATCATTTGAGTTCACACACAAAGAGCAATGTAATGTGGCACGGCCATGCGAGTAACCAAGAAGTTGCAAACACACTTGCACGCTGTAGTTCACTAAAACACGCTGTCTTCGTTTATTAAAAGCTCGTTTAATTGTGAGTTACCTGCTCTCAACTTTTAATGGGACAGCACGTTATCGCTGTCGTGACTTGAGCTCCAGTCATGCTTGCTGGAAGCGATTTATTTGTTTTAGCCGACTGTGGAAAGAGCTAATAACTTTATCTTGCTCGAAATGATAACGCGAAATCAGTAGCGTAGAGAGGAGGGCAACGTGAGTGCGCGTTGACTCTTTATTACCAATAAGTGTTTATTATAGCTGGTTTGAAGAGCAACGATTCACGAATACGCTCGTTTTCGTTTTGCACAGACTAATAATATACCAGCAATCATTCAGTCCGTACAGCCTCATGTTGATCCATGCCAGGTGAACAGTTTTGTCATTTTAACAGCTGGAATGAATCATCACTGTTGCATGTACGTTTATTACGATTTAAAATAGGGTTTAAAATAAAAAATAAAAATGACGGTATTGTGAAAAAGCTTAATGGCAACAACCGGGGAAAAGGGCCCAAAATAAATGAGAACACGTAAGCATTGTGGAGCGACCTCCACAATGCTTACGTGTTCTGCTTTGTTGGTTTAGCTGCTTTTTCTTCATTGGTTTAGCTTATTCGTGTTTGCACACGGACCTCATTTGCAGCATGAACGTTAATCAATCCAGCTGACTATTTTCATAACTTAGCTGTTGCTGCTGTTTTGGTTAGCAACAGAATTCAAATGGGCTCAACGGGTAACTAATTTGGACATGGCGGAAATATGGTTATTTTGGGCCAGTGGCTTTCTGATTTCCTCTTTTGCCTGCCATGGTGTTGTGAGATTGAATGATAGCGGCTGTGTGGAAAAGGCCAAAGCAGCAACGTAGCACAGGTGATCATGCAGATATTTGCGCTTTTAAAATGCAAGACTCGCCGCCGGCGCCTTTCATATCCGGCCAGGCGTGCACGTTTGTTTTTTTTTGTTTTTTTCATTCTCGTCATTCCTCCGCTCTCATGTCAAACATGCTTGTCTGTCTCTCGCGGTTGTTATCAGATCAGTTTCAGGCTGCTTCTAATGACCTGTCGAAACAAGCTGCATTGTAAAGGTTACCCTGAGTTTGTTTCGTGTTTGTTGTAAACATGTTTGTCTGAATAGAAGTGATCGTTTTTGCCCGCATTCTCTCGTTGCTAAGCACAAACGGCCTTCTTAATTGGTCGGATCAATCGCAGGCTGATAGCATGTCACAGCCCTCTTCAGTTTGACGACTTGTTGAAATAGGTCACCCAAGCATGTAAATGCGGCCCCAACATGCTCTACTTTGAATGCGATGACAAATCGTTGTGGATTCTTTCGTTCTTATGGACTAACAACCTTATCAAATTGATCATATCAGTTTCAGTTGGGTAGTAGCAAACCCTCCTTGGGTTTTATGATGTGTTTTTGTTTAGTGTTTGTTGTCAGTGTTGGGTTTTATTGTGCCATTTTTTCGTTGTTATGCACAAACACTCTTCTTAATTGGTCAGTTCAATTGCAGGCTGCTAGCATGTCACCGTGTTCTTGAGTTTTATGAGATGCTAAAGTAGGCAAGGCATACACGCGCATCGATATCACGTGCGCTTTATTTGCCAATCTGTTGAACTGTCAAGTGCAGCCGGAGCACGCCGGTGGCGGCCAACTGCCGTTTTAATTCTTAAAGTGGCAGAAACATTTACTTTTAACGTTTGGATGACTTTAACCGTTGCATTGTGGCCAACGGTACAATCCTGGCGGATTAAGGTGCCTTGTAAATCCTTCTGGAAACCAAAATCAAGTTGCCTTGACTCGATTGCTTTTTCTTCGTCGTCTTCTTTGTAACTGACAAGAAGTTTTCTGTAAAAACATCTCTAGTGTTAAAAGCTACTTTCTGACCTCTCTGCGCATGAATTAGATGTTGGCTTGCATGAGCGTACGGATTCTAATGCATGCATGTTCCATTCGTCAGTGACGGACCCTCTGACGTTGCGTCAGTACTTTGCCCCGTTATTTATTTAATTATTTTTTAAAATTTTGTTGTCATTTGTCAGTGACGGACTGTCGGACGTTGCGTCAGTACTTAGCCCGTCATTTATTTATTAATTTTTGAAAATTTTGTCACCATTTGTCAGTGACGGACTGTCGGACGTTGCGTCAGTACTGATGGAATGCCCACTTCTGGTTCTCTGGTTGTTATGAACAAACAGCGTGCATAATTGATCGTATCAGTTTCAGGTCGGTATTATCACAGCTATCTTGAGTTGTATAATGTAAACAATAGGCTCATTGACACGATTTTTGTGGAGTCTTCAGTGCTGGGCGATAATGGAAAAAAAATGTATCACAATGTAGGTCATTTTAGATAACAATAATGTTCCATGATATCGATATTTTCAGTTATTCTATGAAAAACAGTTTGTCTTTCATTTTTACTGTAAACGTGTTGTGTGTTGGGTGAATTCATTTTGTTGTACTTTCTTTGAAGATTGCTATGGACAAACAACCTTCTCATTTGCAACCTCGGAGGTTACAATCACTTACAGCGCAAGCTTGCACACTTTATTTATAGGAAGAGCCTCATAATAACTAATTGCTCCTCATTTCCAGGCGGCGATATTAACAGTGAAAAGAGCCACGGGAACGTTCTCATTGGTCGGATGGTGAATATTACTTTAAATTACCTCTCAATGATTCCTCTCGGTGACCTTCATTTAGTTTGGTAGTTACTCTTCATAGATAAAATCCATGGTCATCGTTAAAAAAAAAAAGAAAAAAAATTCTATCATGAATCCACTGGCCACAACATTAGGTACACCTCCACGATCTACTGTGATCCCATACAGGGTGTGTGTCACATAATAAGCCTCTGCAAAAATAATTTATGAGGTATTCTTTGAACAATATTTGTAATATTGTGGTGTAAGTACCTTACCGCATCACACTGAGAACTAGTTCTTAGTTTCTCGATTTCTCCACTAAGACGTTGAGTTTTCGTCAATTCTAAATCAATCAATAAATTTAGCCGACCTCCGATTTTTCATCAAAAATACTTATTCACCACCTTTTCAAGAATTTTGGGGGTTAGAATAAATAGACACAAGACTTTAAATGTTTTTTTTTTTTCACTGCATTGTATTGGCCATCAAATTATACACCGACCTCGACCTCAAGCATTTTAATACCCCCCCCCCCCAAAAAAGTTTTGGTTTGCTTTGGATATCGTCGAGTGAAATATATCGTCAGATTCTGACATATTTGTTTTTCACAAAAATGTAACAAAAAGGCCGAATCAAAGATTAACCCACAAAATTTGGACGTCTCTGATTTCCATTGACGTTTTGCATACGGTAAAATTCAGTGAATAACACGAACCCATGTAGAATACGCCCCCCAAATTTTTTTTTCTCTGTACTTGTGAATAATACGGTCCTCCAATTTGCTGGTATCCTTTGTGGTCAGAGTGAATAGCACGAAAAAATCGGAATTGAAAACACAAAAACTCAATGAATTTGTTACATTGCGCTGGTGTACCTAATATTGTGCCCGGAGAGTTTCTCCGCTGAACAGTGTCCTTACATAAAATATTCTTTTCACATGTTACCATAGCGCTTCTGTCTTAACACATTTTGTTTACGACTGTGAGACATTCATTGTCCCTTTGTTTTTGTTTTTTTGTTTTTTTCTCTCCCACTTTTCTCCACAGCATGTTGATGCTCTTTGTGATCTGGCTGCTTCGCCGCTACCGCTCCTTGGCACAGGTGAAGTGGCCTCTCTTCTTATTTACGTTTGTGTTTGGCGTCGTTGCCACAGCAGATGTGCTCAATTAGTCCTGACAAATCCTTGGGCGTGATTGAGCCCAGTTAAATGAGGAGATTAATCACGCGCGTGGGGTTAATTGACTGGTGGTTGTTCCGCGATAACGACCTGTAGCCCACCCCCAATCCCCCCCGGCCCCCCATCACGATTCCACCCACTCTCTCCTCAATGCAATGTTTTCCATTTGTCTCGCTTGCGTGTATATTAAATTCTATTGATTGCGTCTCCATATATAGTGCCGCTATTCCGGCCCCCCGCGCTCCCCCCAAAAATTGCCTAAACCCATGGAACAGCTTTTGCATTGTGTGTTAGCATTAAGCTAGCATTTTGTTTGAATATCCAATGTGTAATTTTCGTTGTATGATGTTCAAACAGCTTGAGGCAAGAACTTGGCTTCTTTTTTTTTTTTTTTTTTTTTTTTTTGTTTTGAAAAATTGTTCACTATTTGCTGTTGGTTGTGAAGTTCGCCGCCGCCATTTAGCGCTCTCAAATGTTTGCTAGCAACTCTAGACATGCAAATCAACTGAGCGACGGCTCAAATCTGGAAAAGTCGTCTCACTCGTTATTTTAGGCGATACTGGAAATGTAAAGTACCGGGCAATTACTTGAAGAAGGCTTTTGTGTGCGCTGGTTGCCTAACGATCAGCTAATATGAGTTTGCTTTTTTTTTTTTTTTTTTTTTCTTTGTTCTGGGAATAACCTTGGATGAGTACAATGGCGGTTAGCTGGACCGCCACCTTTGTTGAATCTGGGTACTGCACGTCCATGTTTGAAATGACAGAAAACAGGAAGCCCTCGATGGAAGGGGAGGTTTTTATTTGTATCAAAAATTACATAAGAAAAATCTGATATTTCTGGAAATACGGTCAGTTTGATCTCCCATCGGCGTGCAGTTGCCTTGATTTTATGTGCAGCGCGACGAGCAGGTTTGTCAGGTTGAGCCACTCTCCAAAGTCGTCTTGGTAATCTGAGGAAAAATGACAGCCTAACACGACCCTCAGGATGGATCCTCTTACCTCCAGACTAGGTTGCCACGTCGCCTCCTCCTCCTCCTCCTCCTCCTCTTCTTCCCCCACCTCCATCTCCTTGCAAAGGTTATCCGTCAGTCAATAGTCTTTAGTGCTCTGTGGCCCTGCTGAGCTTGTTTCCTCCCCCCATCCCCATCCGGCAGCCTTGGCGAAGGTCGCCGTTGGACGCGTATTGATGAAAGATCGTGCTTATTTGCGTGCCCGACTCTCCACTGGGCCCCCGCCAGCCGTGCGTGCGAAGCCTTCTTAAAGCTGTCGATTATTGTAATCACGCAACCAAATGATTTCAGCGTGCAGCCGAGTGGAAATGAGGAGACTCTCTTCCGACGTGGCTTGGAATGACCGAATATCCTGTTTTGCTTTTGTCTGCCATCATTTCCCGCATTGCCCTTTTGTCCGCTGCCAAAAATTCTCGGGGACCGAAGCCCCTTTCTAACTCTGCCAGTTTGGTGTAACTATTTTGAGGGCCAGATGAGTCAAGCGGTTCCCCCGAGCAATTGTGTCGTAATTATCTTCACTCTGATTGGTCTTTGGAAAGCGGTGTTGATGGTGCTTCTCATGACTGACGTGCACACGAGACTCATTTTGTTGTTTCTTTTTTTTTGTTACAGAAGATGATTCTCAGCCTGACTGTCGCCGCCTTTTTTGACAGCCTAGCATATGTCATGGTCAGTTTTTCTTTTTATAACATACACACACACACACACACACGATTGTTTATGAGTCCCCTCTGTATGCACACGTTATTATAATGTTTCCCCCTCCCCCACTCTTTACAGGGTGAATCCCACCCCGAGGGATCTCTCTGTAACTTCCAGGCCTGGTGGCTAACATACTTTGGTAAGATAACGCTCCAGGAATCTGGTAGACTTCCATTTTGTCCCCCCCGGAAGTAACAGAAATAGACAAATATTCAAGAGTCAGCGTGACGGCTGTCAAAACGGAACTTTACGATTTGTACTGGCGCATGTAGAATTCATAGCTGTCGCATAAGTGGAAAAAGAATTGAACCCCAAATAATAATGCAGAAACCAATAATTGGCTGACGACTAGTCCAGGGTGTACCCCGTCTCTCGTCATGTGGGATTGGCTCCAACTCACCTGTGGCACGAGTGCGGAGAAGCATCGTCGGAAGTGGATGGATGAAGAATCAAATCTTAATTCAAACTTTGATGAATTATTGTCGCCATTTTGTACTGAGCAGCCAGGACAGAGATATAGGAAGCAAATGGCTAACCGCGTGGGAAAATACAGTATACATTCAGTTTTTTTTTTTTTTTAGAGCCATATTGTACTCATTTCTATGCTACTTCCCGTGGTTTTTTAAAAAAAAAAAAAAAATTCAATTTCTGGTTCTATTTTAATCATCTGGAAAGCACACGACAGATTACGTGCCGCTGACATCTGATTGGATATCAATCTAACGTACGCATGCTTGTACTCGAAGCATTGCAGCCAAGTGAAATGTTATGAAATGACTGCTGGGAATCTCCATCGGTCCAGTTTGTAATTCATACTTTTTCACGGCACAAGCTTGTAAATTAGTGCTTCTGATCGTGCTGAGGCCAGCTAGAGACGGTTGCACACCACTGCGCTAAAATGACATCATAGGCATTGAGGCTGGTGAGAACATTCCGACTTTTATATAACAGGAGTTCCTTATGATCTGCAACGATCAAGCAGAGATCGTCTTCCTGTTTATTATGAGTGGATACGACTCAATTTACCCTGTCACTATAATAGTCAGTGAACAAAAGTAATGGGACACCCGATAGTTACTCCTACGGGCCTTGAGAAAACATACTTTCGGTCTCCATTGTTGTGCATGATTGGGAATTTCTACAGCGTCAACGTGACGCCACAGCAGTGCTGGAAGTAGAAAGGGCCTTCCCCAAACTATTCCCACACAAGGTTGGAAGCATAAAATGTCAATATAGTGTACTCCTCTCACTAATCACACTTTAAGCAAGTTGGGAAAAATTCCCCCCCAGAACAAGCTGCTTGCCAGCACATGTGTTGACATCAGTCTGGCAAGTCCACGGGCTTTTTGGTTTTATAATCCATTTGCCGACTTAGACTTCGAGAAGCGCAAACCTCAACTTGGCTCAGTCGAGCACGATCCGTGAAGCTGGTTATCGAATATGAAGAAAAAAAAAGGGAAAGGAAAACATGAGAAGTCAATTTGTTACAGGCTTGCATTGTCCCATCTGATTTTTTTTTCTTCTTTTCACAATTTAAGGATGTTTTCCAGGTATCTTATTAAAATGTTTGTGAGTCGCTTTTGTCAAACTACACGTGAGATCAAAAATTATATCATAGTCTATTTATACACACTATTTGTTTGTCTTTTGCCTTATTTTGAAAAGGTGGCCCTTTCTCATGCAAGTGAGCGACTCTTTGCATCGCCCCATATGCAAGTGCCTTCTGTTGTTACCATGACAACCATAGGCGGAGCCTGGGCTTTGCAATTCGGGCAGACTTGTGGGAGCGGCGCGTGGCAAAAAGCCAGCGCCTGTAAAGACGCTTGAGGAGGCAGAAGTTCAAACACTCCACTGTGTGTATGTGGCGCACCGACGCATCATCACACGTCAACACAAATAACGCATCGACAATTTCAAAATATGCGCTGCTTATCAGAAGCTAACGCTGTTCGGTGACCCGAATCTGTTCATCTGACAAAACTCAGCGCAGCGCTGCTTACCTTTTGGCAACCTGTGGCAGCTGCGGATGATCCGACACGATAGTGCCGTTGTACGATGAGTCAGAGGGTTGGACTGTTGCCGTCACCTGAAAGCGTCTCCAACGGAAGTTCAGAATTCCTCGCGCGCAGACTCATTCTCGGAAATGGTCAGATCACAAAAGATTGACTTGGTTGTGTAATTTAACACTTGATGGGAGGGCAGGCACTTCGGAGACACATTCAAAGGCACTTGATGTAAAGTTTCAACTGTGTCTCATTTGAGCTGATCCAATTGTTTGAAGTCTTTATTAGCATCGGTTTTTGTTAAATTGTGAATAGATGTTTCTGGACACCCTTTGGAAATTCTCTTCTGTGGTTCTGCCATTCGTTAGCCATAATGATTCCAAGGGACGTGCTAATTGATTAGCAGGTAAAATAAATTTTACACATATTACCCCGGAGCAGTCAAACGCATTCCTCTGTCGTAGAAGTTGCATGTCCTGTTTTACGGTTATCATCACTGCTATCTTGCTGTGGCCGCATCACAAAAAAAAAAGCCCCCCCCGCCCCTCCCTCCACAACAATTTGGTTGTACTTTCAATTGCTCACTTGGAGCTGCCACCGTATAAAAAAAAAGATATCTTCTCCTGCTTGTTCCCAGTCAGTTTCTTTCCCCCACACAAGTGGCGCATTACGTCCTGACGTTCTCAAGCTAAAAGGAGCACATATGTGCTCTACATTTGCATAGCGCGCCTATAAAGCAGCCATTAGGGCGGCGATGCGGCACTCGACTATTCAGCAGTTTTCACACACCCTCGCCAGGAATGCCACGCTCGTGGGGATGGTGTAACACATGGGAGTGAACAGTATGCGCTCCTTTATGGAGAGATCATTTTCCTCCAATCACTGAAGCAGACACCCTGGGCTGTGCCATATCATGCCATCCACAAAAAAACAAAAAAACAAATTGAAGGGCGACAAAAATGTAACATGCTGATATCATGTGAGTCTTCTAAACATTGGAGGCTACTGAGGGTGGGACGAAATATCGATATGATGATACAATGTGATCACAGGGGGTACTCCGGCGGCCTATTTGTGACCCCACCCCCTGAACTCTTCCGGCCCTTGCCCAAGATCTGATGACACGAGGCGTTCTCAAAGTAGTCGTCTGGTTGCCTGCCATGCTTCACCTCGCACAACTCGGCGAGCCGTCAGCCGTCTCATTCATTGTGTGCATGTCAGATTGGCAGCTCGGTGGGTGACACCTGAATTGAAAGCATTTATCGCTGCACCGGCATTCCGATTGCGTTCTTCGGGAACCGATTTCAATTGCATTTAGATGTGCGAGGCCTTGTTTTTAAACACGAAAGCTGGCCATTTCGATGGCAATTATACGGCCACTTTAGCCCCCGCCGATTAGCATTCGGATTCTTAGTTAGGGCTCGGTGCTAATACGCCTCTTCGACGCCGCTCTTTTTTATTGCTCTCACAGGCAAACACACACACCGAGGCGGCCGCGGCGTAATGGGCAGTGAGTTAGTGCTGCGGGGTTGCAGCGTGTCAGCTCGCTTTATCACAAGCATCCTCACGCTGGGGACAAACGGCTGTACATAAACCTGAACAGGCACTTTGTTCTGTGTGGCGTCGAGCCTGGTGGGAGCTGCGCGGCGTAGCGCCGCTTTTAAATTCACACCAATAAAATGTGATGAAATGTGTTGGGAGACGGGACAGGTGCGCATTAAAACAGGTGGGGGGAACCTTTTTCCTATCAGTGGCGATTTCAGTTTTCATAAAGTCGTCCGAGGGCCATACTAAATTTCTAAAAAAAAAAAAAAAGATTTATGTATTACGAGTATTTGTGGGTTAAATGTTTGTTAGACTTTTTCATAACATTGCTCTCTGGTTTTACGACTTCCACCAGGCATGAAAATAGGAAGTTTTTTTTTTCCTTTTCCTCTTTGAACAAACTCAAAAACACACCACAGTTTGCTTGCAATTGTTTCCTGGGGATTTTTTTTTTTTTTTTTTTTTAGCTTCAGACACAACTATTTACTAGCGAGTGAATTGGAAAAGTCAGTAATGTTATCGTAAGCAGTTAAAACAACGATGGTAATTTCCATTTTCAGGAAAACATACTCCTTCGAGGGTACCAATGCGATCTTGACCAAATATGAGGCAGTTCTGTTCTGACAGCGGCGACAGAAACGGAATTTATACGCACGTCAAAACCTGCTGTAGTCAATCACTAACCTTCACTCACGCTGTCAAGCCATGATTACCATAAATATATTTTTTAATAAAAATCCCTTCCTCGGCATAAATATAAAATCATATATTGAATAAGCTCATACAGAAAAGGAATGGATAGCAAACACTAAGTACGTCGCTAACGACGCATTCTTATGCTGCTGCTCAAATTTGAACGCTGCGCACAGTTTGTAACCTCGAAACATCGCATGTGGGGAATGTCAGAAACTGAGGACCTCCCAATTTATCGGCCAGTTGTTTGTGACTCACGGGCCAAAGGTTGCCCACCCCTGAATGAAAGCACAGATCCGCTCGCGTTCCAGTAGCGTAAAATGCGTTTCGCTTGTCCCAGAGACGGTGATTAATTGCGAAAGATGACAGAGACAGCCGGGCCGGCCTACTTTCCTAGTCACCGCATGCTGCTCCCGCTTCGTTCTTGTGCGCGAGGTTGTGTTGTGTGAAAGCCAGTAAGCTGAGCACGCAGCTCCGGGAATTCATCATTGTGACGAGCGGCCTTGCCTGTCCTGTCAAGAAAAGCACACACGCACACACAAGGACACACCCAAAAAAAACAACAACAAAAAAAAACCCGCAAGGCTGCAAACCGAAATACAACAAAAGGACGCCAGCGCTTTGTTTCACGGTCTCCCTTTTTGTGTCGGCCTCTATCCAACCACCATGTTGGAATCCCACCATAGTCTCTCTGCAACCCCTCCCGCCCTCCCCCACCTTCCCCCGCACCCACGCCGCCGTTATCTCGCTTCGCTTTTTCATAGTTCATCATTATCTCTCTCCGAGCTCCCCCCTCTCATACATCACCATAAGCCACTGGTTTCCCTCATATTACCGCAGAATGGGCTTCCATTCATCAAAAAATGTCACATATACATGTGAGTGTTTGTGTGGGTGTGTGTGCGCGTGCGAGGTTGGGAGCCGTGTTGCATTTCTGACCTTGTTGTTTTATTTCCCACTCTGCAGACTGGAGTGCCTTGGCCTGGGTTTGCCTCATCACGCTCAACCTGTACTTTAACCTGGTCAGGGAGATGAGCACGACTTCATATGAAATGTGAGTTAAGGGTCGCATTGTCCGCTGTACACCAACGCCATGCCCTCTGCGGCCACTTTTGTTGGAGGGATAAATGTTTTGATGATTGTTTGTTAGATGGTGAGCAGGAATCTGCCAAACCGATTTTCCCCCCCTGAAGCCCACAAAAATGCATATCGATGAATTTATCCTCAATTTTTGCTGTTTTGAGTTGGAGGGAATCCTTTCCACACCCCCGCTTCAGATTTCTAATGGTAGAGCCCCGTCCGCCTAATCCGAAAGCTTTACATCAGCCCTAAGCCGCTTTCACACTGGCTTCCCCGTAAATTGGCGTAACGGTAGAGCCGGGATTTATTCTCCTTTCCCTTTCAGACTGAGCTGACCTGTGGAAGGAGGTACATATGGATTTTGTCGAAAACAGGTCTGTTAATAAAAAAATCACGTGTGCCGTGACTTTTTCCACTACTTTTACGTCTGAGGACACCAAGCATAATTTGTGGGTGGACCCCCCCCAATCATGCTTGTTAAAAAACAGAGCCAGTGTGGAAGGGGTGAGTAACCTGCAACCAAGTGTGGGCACTGAAGAACTAACAAAATAGAGATGGTAATCCTTGATTTTTTTTTCCACTTTTATTGAATTAATTAGCCATTGTTGAAACCATTGCAGCTCGGCGGACTCGACTAAAGTTCAGCATGTCGATCTCACATTCAAGATGTTCTGGGTTTGATTCTTGACTTTCGCTTTCCACTGTGAGGTTTGCGTGTTCTTGTGCTTGTGTGGGGTTTTCGGTGGTTACTTTGGCTTCTTCACGCATTCCACACACATGCACGTTAAGGTCACCGAAGACTCGATATTCTCCATGAGTGTGGATATGAGTGTGAATGGTTGTTTTCTTTACATGCAGCCCTCTGATTGACTGACGACTAATTTAGGGGATCGCCTCGCCACCCGCCCAAATATCCAGCTCACCCTCGACCACAATGAGGACTTTTATTTATTAATTTTTTTGTATGTCGCTTCAACATAAAAGCCATTCATTTTCGCGAATCAAAGCAAAGCAGCACGGTCGGCCAAAGAAACACAAAGAAAGAAACAAACAAACGCAAATATGGCGCGCCACCAGCTCTTACATTTTTGGTCGATGATTTTTCTCCATTTGATGTGAGGTGAGGGTTTAGTTGAGACTTGTTGTTGGTCTCCATCTTGCATTGCAGTTTCGAGATTACATGATAAAGTCCGTTCATCACCGTCTATTGCCTCGTGTAGATCTATACCTATATAAATATAGATATAGCTATATATAGATGGTATCTAATTGTAGTTGCCAGTTCGACCTTGGAGGAGCCATGCGCTCCACCGGCTGTTACTGTTTTCCCCGTTCAGGCCGGAATCGCCACATTGCTTTTTCTCCGCCTCACAGCTCCGTACAGAGACGCGAAGTGGGGCTGCCGATGTAAGAGCGGCGCCGGCACTGATGTCTGTGTAATTGGGACAGCCTTGAACGGCGTAGCAGCTCATTAAAAACGCTGATGCGAAGGCGCTATTCAAATTCACCCGCTGGGGCGCCATATTGCTGGCGTTGATAAGTTCCGCATAAACAAGCGAGGCGGAATAGCGGTCGGACTCGCTTTTCGGGCGCGAAAGAACAGACTTATGTGTCTTATTTCGCGATGGCCGGTTCCCCAGGAGTGCGCGTGCGTGTGCTTGCGTGCGCGCGCGTTTGTGTGTGTGTGTGTGTGTGTGTGTGTGTGCCCCCTTGCATCCCTCCCCTCCTTTTCCGTTCCAGCCAGCCGCCACTCTAATTGAAAAGGGAGTGAGTGTCAGCCGCTAAGTGCGAGCTTGTGTGGCTGCCGATGTGCGCACACATCTTCACGCTTTGTGGCTCAGCGTCCCTGTCGCTCAAACTCCCCTGAGCGCTTTCCGCGGAGCAAGTGTGAATTTATTTGCGCCTGTGCGCGCGCGCGTCGGACGCTTAAAAAAAATAAAATAAAATGAATGCGCACCGTGGGTGGAAGAACAAGCAGCTTTAACAAATTAGCAGCCACTCTGTTCGCCCGGCCAAGTCGATTGTTCTTGCCGCTATTCTGTAGATGTGCTTAGGTGTGCACACTTGTCTTACACTCCTGTGTTTGTGTGCGTGGGAGGGGGGAGCAGGGGGGGGGGCGTTGGGTTGGGCCCCGCCAGCCCTCCCCTTGGGAGTTTCCCTGCATTGATTAGCAATAAGCCGGAGGATATAATGGCGGTATAACTCAGAAAGAGACGGGTTTATGAGCGCAGGGATGATGCCTGCTTGGGGGTCCGGAATGGGCTCACTACCGATCCTAATCAAGAGCCCCTTTCGCACCGCCTGTAATTGCTGGCATTTTTGCCGTTCTTTTCCCTGTTGCAGTTCGGTATTAATGAGAGGTTGCATAATAGCATCGATATCCTGTAGATTAAAAAAAAAAAAAAAAAAAAGCACCAGCAGAAAAGTCTTCTTTTTAGGCTGTGGGTACGCTCATTTTGTTGGAAGATTTTTTTTGAAAGTGGATTTTGCCGCTTTTCTGCGCAAACGTCACCGACACATGTTCCGTGATGCCGGTATCGGGATGTCAATTTTTACGCTTGACGTTCCCCTCTCCGGTACTGTTGTGTTGCATGCAGTTTTCACCGTCCGTCACATCAGACGCTGGCACTGATCGCAAGTAATTTACCTGATAGCATCTGATGTGAAAGTTCGCACAATCACTTGCTTTTGTATAAAAGGCACAGACGGATAAATGCCAAAGCTTCTATTAAGGCTGTGATGGGCTAATTGTGATGGGTCTCGCTGTGACGGAGGCTTCTGCTTGTAAATGTCAAGACCCTAATTCATTCACGTGGTATGGGGAGGGGGGTGGGGGGGGGCAATGTTGACCTGGCAATTTCCTCCTACTGAGACAGTGGCATACCCAAAACAGGCATTCTACACCGTATTTTATGTTGTTCTTGCCTCGTGCAGCAATATCCCACTTCGCTGTGTTCTGTATGAAAGGCACCAGCAAAATACAATCAATGCCAGATCTGTCATGCAAATAAAGACATTGCTGGATCTTTGAGTGACTCCACATCTCCCGCCCTACTGTGTTGAAAGCAATCGTCGCCGTTCGTCACCCCCAGACAGTGGCAATTACGTCATCCAATTGTCAGATTGCGGCGCGCCGTGTTGTTGTTTGAAAGCTCGCGCGTATAGTTGCGGCAGAATCCCGCTTCACAGGGTGTAAAAAGCAGCGCCAGATCAATGCCAGAGTTGAAGCTGTGATGTGCTAATTTTTGCTGTGTGAAAGTGACTTACTGCCTGTAAAAGCAGACAATTTGCTGTTCTGTGGAAATGGCATTGACACAGAACGGGGAGGGGTACAAAGTCAATAATGCAATTTTTTGTTTTCTGCAAAAAAGAGCCGTGCCACCACTATGCGTATGGCCCTGGCACACATGTAAGGATTATCCAAATCTTAAAATATTTTTCTCTGTGACAAAAAAAAACCTGTTTTGATTGTAGTGTGTGTGTGTGTGTGTGTGTGTGTGTGTGTGTGTGTGTGTGTGTGTGCGTGGTGTGCTTCTATAATCTCAGCATGCAGCACCACACACGTTAAGATCCTGTCCCGCCATCGATTTCACAACTAAGTCCTCAGAGGCAGACATCTCACGTGATCACACGTGAGATTTCTAAAACGAAGAAGTAACAGAAAACCGGCCGGCTAAGCGCCGATGTTACGGGAGTGTTTCTAAAGAGGACGAGAAACGGGAGAGTGGGAAAAATGGAGAAACCATCAAGGGCTTGCGATGGAAAATACTTTTTGCCGGCTATGGAATGAATGCATTTTTACTGAACAAAACAAAGAGAGAAATTTGTTTGGACGTGGTTATATTTACCGCCGCGTCCTTGTTCATCAGTCAGGGAGCTTCCTTGATCGGCCACTGTCCGTTCACGTCACAGTCCGCCGAATCGAATGACCCAAGAGTGCGCTGCTTTCCCCACGCATGTGAAGCAACACAGGAAGAAAAAAGAAAAAAAAAAGAATGGCTTTAATTGACAATGTGAACGTGACAACGTGCCGCGCCTCTGTTCTGGCTTTCATACTTCCGCCAATGGTGGCTAATTCGAAGGATGACTCCCAACCAGCTTTGATAGTAGAAGCGACTATTGTCAGGGTGTTAAACTTCACATTCGTTACACACCGGCAGTGTCCCGTCCCGATTACGGCTCCGACGCTATCTCAGAAGCCAGCAAAGTTGCCGCTTGAATTTTTTTGGGCTTTAATGGACACTCTGAAAAGAGGGTGTAGTCAGGGTGTTAAACTTCACACCCCTCTACGCGAAGGCAGTGTCCTGCCTTTGTTAAGCCTCCGATACTCCCTCCAGCGGTGGCAAATTTGCGGGTCGTCACAGTAAAAGGTTGAAAATTCCTGGCTTTAATAGTCTGAGATGGACTATAGTCGGGGTGTTAGACTTCACACCCCGTACACGCAGGCCGCATCCCCCTCTGTTACATTTCTGATCCTATATCAGAAGGTGGCAAATTTTCAGGTTGGCTCCAACCTTCCCATTAAGGTGAAAAATCCCGGGCTTTAATAGACAGTCTAGAAGTGGCTCGTGTCAGAGTGTTGAACTTCACGCTCCTTATACACAGGGAATAGTACACCGCTGATGTTACCTCAACCAACGCAGAAAATGTACAGGTGGACTCCAAACCCCATTCCATGTCAACAACACTGGAAAAAGGTGGAAAATATACATCTTTAATGCGCCGTTGTTCTTAAATGGGCTGGTGTCAGGGTAGTCCTACCTCTGACCCCCTCTACGTGCCAGCTCTGACCCCCTCTTCCGGGCCTATGTTCTTTATACAGAACGCGACGCGCTGGAAAATTCACGGCTTTTCCAGCCAGTGTAAAATGGGCTAAGGACGAAAGTGAGAGGCGGGGGAGGATGCGCCTTTGTTTTTGTGCGCGCTGCGAAGAAGAATGGAAAAAAAATAGAATGGCGCTCCGCTAATCGGCTCGTGTGTTAGCGGCAAGCGTCGAGGGGCTTTTCGTGAATTGACTGCACATACGTAAGCTGTGTGTGTTTAGTCGGGCGGGGATGTGCCTTTGCACGCATGCACAATTACCCTTCAGCCCCCAAACTCAAACTCTCCCGCTCCTCGCACCTCCCCCCCACCACCACCACCACTTCTTTCTCTCTCCCACATGCACACTGATGGCTCATTGTGATGGTTTATGAATGAACAAATTGCCAGAGGAGTGGGGGAGCCGAGGCGGGATGAGCCAAGACTGATTGAAGTGCGTGCAAGAGAGCGAGATAGGGAGGGAGGGAGGGACAGAGAGAGAGAAGGGGGACAGAGAGAGAGAGAAAGGGGGTGGCAGAGAGAGAGAGAGAGAGAGCGTGCGCATGTATGCTAATGTGCGTTTGAAGGGCGGATTCAGACGGAGGGCAGAGAGATGTCAGCAGGAGGAGGTGGAGGGTGCCGGGCGGGTGGGGCACGTGGAAGGGGGGCTAAAACTGAGGGGGGGAGGTTCTCGTCAATCCGCGCTTGTGTGTGTGTGTGTGTGTGTGTGTGTGTGTGTGTGTGCGCGCGGCGCCGTGCGCGCACGTGCGGCCGTGCACGCAGGTGTGTGCGTAACACGGAACGCGTCGTGGCCCTGCTGTGCCTCATTAAGCCCATGTTGCGCCGCGCTCTGGACCTCGTCAGCTCCCTCTCGCTGTGCTGCAAGCGAGCGAGCGCGCGCGCGCGCGTGTGTGTGTGTGTGTGTGCGCGCGAGCCGTAGCCGGTGTGTCTGCGAGCTCTCGACATTGATTTCCTGACAAGGCGCCCTCCCTCCCGTCTCCCCTCCCTCGCCTCTCCTTCCTCCTCCGGCAGCCTTTCCACCAGGGAACGGCAGCGCTGATTTCACCATTTGTATCTCTCCTCCTGCTGGCGAGCGCCTTTTCAGCGTACTTCCTCGTCCTTTTCCCCCGTTGGATTTAAAGTATTTTGTCCGACGCTTACATTTTTGTTTTTTTTTTTTGTGAGCAAAACATGAGTTGTACTTGGAACGTGTTCAAATGATTTCGTTATTTCCCAAATTCGCCACTAGGTAGCGCAACGTTGCTAATTGTGTTTCGCCCGCTTTTTCCTCCTTTCCCGTGTTCCCAGCTGCATCGCAGTTTTTGTGGAACATATCTACAAGGTTACCTTAGTTTAAGAGTTTAATTCATTTCGTGACCAAGCTCATAATACAATCTATTAGGATATCGAATCATTTTTCCACATTGAAATGAATTGAAACGCTATTAATCCGTTCCAGACCCTAAAAAAACACAGCTGTATTTTCTTTTCATGTGAAATGTTTCTAATGATTAAGAACAGCACTGCATTGTACAAAATAAATTAGAAAGCAAAATTGAATCTAGGAACAGAGAATGTCAAGAGATAAATGGTTTTCTGAAGTGTACTTAAGCTCAAAGTCTCACAGACACACTCCTGGTACTAAAAAAGTACTGTCGAGCATTAAAAAAAAAACTACTCTGCCACATCTTTTTATGACCGCAGTTTTCTAAGAGTGACCTCCCAAAACATGCTCTGTGCAGTTTGGCACCGGGCAAATGGACAGTTTATTCATATATGATAACTATTAATGACGTCACAGGAGACAGGAAAGTGTTGCACAGTAATATGTTCTCTGCGCCTCCACTAATTCAAACAAGGCATTCTGATTAATATTGCATTTGTGGAAAATGCAGCAAAATCCACCCGTTTTTAGCAAATCTCAGGGGACGGCCACTATGACACCTTCCGTCAACTAAAAATGACATCTTAAGTCGCTCAGGGCTCGGCTAACGATCATTCACGACTCGCCTGTTTTCTGAAGCTGAGCCCTGATTGGTTGTTACCTGAGCAACCATGTTGTCATTTTCCGTCGTCTCTGTGGAAAAAGCGGCAATTGACCATGCGGTCCTGTAAACTTTCAACAAAGCGAGCGGCGACAAAAACAAAGCGCTTGTTAGAAAGCCGTCTTTGTTGTTTCCCCTCCCTTTTGTCTGATTTTTCAGCTTTCTCTCATGCTCCCTCGCTGAATCCCAATCTGTGTGTCCCTCTCCCACACTCACCGCCCGGTTCTATTTAAACCACCAGCCGGCACTTTTTTCCTTTTTTTTTTTTTTTTTTTGTACGCCATCGCCTCCCACATATTCACACCGGTGTCCATCAGACGGCTGCAGAGGCGGGAAACGCAGCGAAATGGAAAATGTGTGTGTGTGTGTGTGTGTGTGTGTGTGTGTGTGTGTGTGTGTGTGTGTGTGTGTGTGTGTGTGTGTGCGTTGATTGGGAAAAGCGCAAGCGCACACACACAGCGAATCGGATTGAGTGTGTGTCAGCCCTGTCGCATCTGCTCGATTGACCACGCTCGGAAGATGTCAGGGTAGGACTTCCACTCTATTGACCGGCTGATGCTGTTCGCTGTATAAAGTATTGATGGACAAGCCCAAAAGACACGCAATCTTCACAATCCAACACACGCGCATATGGCGATTAAGTTTTTTTTTTTTCCTTTAATAGCAGTCAACGATTTTTTTTTTCACCCCCTAAGCAGTTTTAGCCTTTTCAGCTATCTTCAAGTGTTTCCATGAAGCTAAGCTGATTAATGCACGGAATAAGAAAAATAGAGTCGATTCTTTCCTCACCGTGCCTTGCCGAGATTCTTCCCTCATCATTTACCCAGCTGAGCGCTCAGATTTAATTATGCGCAACACCTGCTAAGGGAGACCGGAATTCCTCTTTGTGGTTCTGGTGCAGACCTCCCATCGTAGAACTCAACCTGTGGGGGTAATTATAGTTGATATTACCTTGTTCGGATGCTTGCACGCGCAAGCAAGAAGGAGTGAACTCAGGAAGAGAATACCGGTAGTTAATTAACTAGTGCACTCGGCACAGTGCAGGCGGACGCTTTAGCTTTAGAAGGGCTCACTTTTTGTGGAGATTCGTTGTCAAATGTTTCCGTAATCTTAAGTCGTCATCAAAACAGAATGAAAGCCTGATGTCATGAACAGAATTTATGATGCTCAGTTTTCTGGGAATTGTTTCCAAATTTTGCGGAATTCTTCTTGAAAAAACAAAAACAAAACAAAACAATAAAAGCCATAACTACATAGCAGAGTTAACGTATAACTTGAAAATTCGTGACAACTGTCCTACCTAATTTCGCAAAACGAACAGCAATGAAAACGTAACATTTATCAGCAGATGTAATGAGCTGAGCATTGGAGAAGTTTGTAAAATTTTTGTGTAAACCTGTTAAAAAAAATTGCAATGAAAATAGAATTTAATAAGCGTATTGGCAGGGCGGTCCGGTGGTTAGCGCGTCGACCTCACAGTGCAGAGGTGCAGGGTTCGATTCCGGCTCCGGCCTCCCTGTGTGGAGTTTGCATGTTTTCCCCCCGTGCTTGCGTGGGTTTTCTTTGGGTACTCCGGTTTCCTCCCACATTCCAAAAACATGCATGACAGGCTGATTGAACACTCAAAATTGTCTCTAGGTGTGAGGGTGAGCGCGGATGGTTGTTTGTTTGTGTGTGCCCTGCGACTTGCTGGCAACCGGTTCAGGGTGTCCCCCGCCTACTGCCGGAAGACAGCTGGGATAGGTTCCAGCACACCCTCCGCGACCCTCGTGAGGATAAAGCGGATCGGAAAATGAATAAATGAATCGTAATGGCAATAATTTTCCTGGAAACTGGTTCAGAATGTTTTTCCCCACTCCATCTTGGATGCAGGCAATAAAAACCTAATTATCAGAAATAATTTCATTGTATTGGAAATTATTTTTGAAATATTTCCAAAATCAAAATAGCAAATCGCTATCAAAACATACCCTCTTAAGTTGAAGTATTGGTGCGATTTTTTTTTTATGATTTTTATTTTAATCTAACGACAATCTTATCTGATCCTACTCACAACAAAACATCCATAAAAACAAACTGAAAACTTAATTCAAAGATGAGATGATGCTCAGCTGTGTAGAAATTGGTTTGGAAAATGTCACCGATAAATTTCCTTGACGTCATCAATAATGTTTCCCAGCTGATCTTTCAGAAAGAAACAGGTGTCTTGATTTTTGTGTTTTGTTTTTTTCTAATCAGGTTCTACCATCTCATTGCATGGGGGGTTCCTCTGGTCATGTCATCCTTGCCGCTGCTCAAAGGTTACTACGGCCCAGCAGGAGCCTGGTGGTGAGTCGCAACCGTCGTAGCGCCGGCGCCTTTGTTTTGTCGGCAAGCAGCTTTGGCCTCCTTCCAGCTCCCGGCGGGCTCCTTTTTTTCCCTCATAAGACCCAGCCTTGTAAAAACGGGGCAATTATCAGCTCATCTTTAAACATTTGGAAACGCCTGCTCCTTCGGCGAGCAGGAGCGGCATCATTGTTTGTTTGGAGAGTCGTTAAGGGGCTGAGGGAAAAAAGGCGACGCGGGGCCTGAGGAGAGCCGGTCGCGGAATGAAAATTGGGACGGAGCCTTAATCTCCAGGCTCGGCGCTCTCTTTTTCCACTCTTGGCTTATTAATAGCTACAGCTGCGCAGCGTCTCACCCTCCCCAGTACGCAGTCACAAGCCTCCCTTCCGCTCTCCTTCTCCTCCGTAACCCCGCTCTCTCCTTCTCTCTTCCTCCAGCTGGATCACAGACGATCACGTAGCCTGGAGATTTGGGATGTAAGTAGACCCTTTCAGCCCCGCCATCAAAGCCTGCTGTAGGGGTGGAGGGTCTCCGGGGGGAAATGTGAAGACTTGCGGATCGAGGGGAGCCTGCGGGTTATTTTTTTCCCCTCCCCTCAGTATGAAGCTAAAAGTGTTTTTTTTTTATTTTGGTTACGCTTTTTTTTTTTTTTCTTCACCCCCTTTCCTGTTCCATTCCTACATTCCATATTAGCACGGAAGTGGAAATTCACTGTCTAGCATATCCAGCTTCACCCCACGCAAGCTAACTGTCAAACGGTTTGAAGATTTAGGGCCCTCTTTACCATGGAAACATTTAATGTGTCGTACTAAACTCAACCACCGTGGTTTAGGATTCTGGGACCCTGTCAAGTGGAAATGCTCAATTGAACTGAAACGTATTATTTGGCTTCACTTTACACCGGCAAACCATAGCATACTACAACTAAAAACCTGAATGGTAACATAAGTATACACCGTAATTCATTAGATTATCGCAATTAGAGAATCACATTTTATTTATTTATAGGACCCAGTGCCGTTGTACATTTCATTGTTATTATCTTGCCTTTTCCCGAAATTACTTTCTTCAGGCTTCTGATTGGGTAAAATGGCTTGACTGTTTTGAGTTTGACAGCCTGCAAGCGCGACAAGTTGAGTCGTTTCAGTTTAATATTTGGCAGTCCCAGATGCACTTCTCAGTCCTTTATTGAAGGCAGCGAGAACAGTAAAACATTCCAAGACAATGAGCACACTCACTGCAGGAGCTGCTGTCGGCCACATCTTAAGCCAGGACATTCACACGCGGGCATGCTGACTTGACACGCGATCTCAACAGGCCCCGCCTCTTAAAGGCACGTCTAACACACAGAACACTACAATGTGTCCCGTATTTTCTGTAGATGTATTCGCAATATTTTGGTGTGTTAATATGTTCACAATGTGTTTAAAATCGTTTTGTAATAAGTTTAATGATGTTCAAAGCAATATGGGTGGTGTGAAATGATCAAAAATATTTCAAGTAGTGGTGGAGCGTATCCACCGCGATGAACGGGTTCACCGTACCGTTCTATGTTACATTTCTTATCTTTTTTGTCTTTCCGGGAATAACTTTCTTTTGGCTTGCGATTGTGTGAATTGGTATGGGAGCATATCGGGGAGGATCCTGCGGGTTTTGCCCATCGCTGCGATTGACTGAAAAGTGTAACGCCCTCCCACTCCCCGTGTCAAATCAGGGGAGTCGCTGCTTGTGTATTTAACGCTCGCGACAGCTATGAAGGATTATTCCTGCTCGACGCTTTCCGCAGCTGGCCCGAAGTCTGCGAGCACGCCGCCAATCAACCACCAACTCTTAAGCGCGCATACACACACACACACACACACACACACACACACACACACACACACACACACACACACACACACACGACAGCGCTTCGCTACGAGGCAAGGTAATTGCATTGCTGCTCGCGGCATCAGCAGGGAATCAATCTTTCTAAACAAATAAGCACACACAAGGCAGGCGCACACACACACACGCACACACACGCACGCGCGCGCGCACACAACATGCTATCAGCTGTGCTAAACGAGCCTGTGTCTCTTTTATCAGCGCTCCTCTGCTCCCCGGCTCTTTCTAGTTTTCCTCGCTGTTGTGGCCCAGGGGGACGAGCCGCTCAGAGGATCAGGGAATCATCATTAGCTCTAATTACATCAAACCAGATGAGAGATTAGAGGCCAAGGCAGCGCCCGTCAAGGAGGAAGCGCAGGCGTTAAAACACGCGCGCCGCTGCTGGCAGCCGGGCGAAAGGTTGCCGCATTAAAGGTGAAAATTAGAAAGATGGAAGGCGTGAGAGGGAGAGAGCGAGCATAACTCAGCGGGAGAGGGGAGGGAAAAGGGAGGGCGGGAGTTTGGCGGCGGCGGCGGCGTAGCGGGAATGGAGATGAGCCTAAGAGAAATGGATGGCCTCTCGTCTCTGGCCACGCCGCGCCGTGTGTCTTCATCAGCACTCATCCGCGCACGCCGACGCGACAGGCTACGCTCGGCAGGAGCGAGGCGCAGAGGACGGGGCCTCATGAGACGGAGGTGGTGCTGAATTTCAAGGGTTTGACTCAGCGCGCCGGAGTTGTGCTGAGTCAGCGCTCCCGTGTCCCCGTCGGTGGCGTGTCGTTGACCCTTGCGACACAAATGAATGGTAATGACCACGCGGGGGGGGGGGGGGTTGTGATGGTAGTTATTGGACCTATTGACATGAAACATTCATGGGTCCTGGAATTTTAAGTATGATGACACGAGTGATAAATGGATGCTTTTTGGCATCGTCAGAACCAGACCGTGAATTTTTCTATCCACCATCATTGTGACGTCCACGTTTTTCAACTGAGCCCCGTTTTGCAAAGGAATTTGGTAGATGGAAGCGCTCACCCAAATAACTGATTTGAAGTGCTCTTGGAACAACGATGGTTAAGCGGAGCCAGACAGTATACAAGGCCCACTCCGTTATTATATCGGCACAGATGACATCTCTGGTTGATGACATAAGAGGAATCCTCAAGCAACTCAACAGCGGCTCACGTTAGCATGTAGTGCTATTCTACTTTTTTTCAGGCTTTTGTTCCGGGAAGAGCTTTCTTCAGGCTTCTGATTGTCTGAAATAAATTTAGTGTTAGAGATTACGGCACCATCTGTTGCTTTGGCATGCGTTTGACAACCCAAACGTGCTAAAAAAAAAAGAGAAAAAAGATTTTATGCTTTGCACGCTGGAATAGAAACACCTAGAAATACGTACCTTAGTGAAATGAAATGAACCATACTGCTTAGTGGTAACAAGTCTGAACGTCTTATTTCAAATAAGACGGTGAGTTATGATGGAACTGTGATTTGATTCTTGAATATTGTTCGCAGGCAGCACTGTATGGCTCGACTTTTCATTTTCATCATTGTGCAAATGACTGTCTGTGGGGATCTCATTCGCCAAAATGGCTTTACAGTTAGATCGGCTGGCGTCGAGCAGCCTGTGTGTGACGGAATATTGTACAGTTCGGGTTTCATATTTTGGAATGCTTCACAACGCAAGCACCGAAATGTGCATTGTACCAAATTGAAACTGCCCTGCTTGGTGGTAGAAGGGTTAAGGCGGCACACCCTTCTTGTGAAACATTGGGTTGTGACAGAAGGGACAGTTTTATTTCTTCTTTACCGCTAATGTTAGCATTTAGCTCTGTGCCGTTTTACTTCCAACAACAGCATTCTACCTTTTCCGTAAACGCCTTTCAAGCATCTGACCGGCTGTAGTGGTTCTCTGATTAGGAATTTAAAGCCCTGTCTATGACTTTGGCGCCATGCTTCATAGCCTCGAGTGTGGATGGAGATCTTTTTAAAACACAGTTCGCGTAGAGAAAAATGTATTTTTAAAAAATGTACTTGTACGTGTGGTCCGACTGAGATGCACCGTTGGGAGTCCGCATGCTGATTTGTTTTTCTTTTTGTCTCTCGGTTTGTCCCGGTGCCTTATGCAAGTGGTTGAACAGGTAAATTGTGATCTCTGGCGATGCCGCGGGTCAAAGTTGAGTCGCCGCAGTCGAGCGCTAACCAGGAACGACGGGTCCCTGCTGCACTCTCATCTTCCGCTGAGCGCCTCCATTAAGGCTCCTTTCATCCGCGCCGCGTCCTTCACTTCAGAGGGAGGATGGAAGGGATGGGGCGGGGGGGGGGTTGAAACGGTAGGCTGAGGCGGAGGGATTCAATCTGCGCGTGTGCCTCTGAAGATCTTTCCCTAAGTTTCCATCCTCTCTCTCTCTTTCGCTCCCCACCCCCGCCCCGTCTTCCTCTCGCTCTCCACCACTTGCTCGCCGCAGTCCTACCCGCCAGCTCGCCTCTGCCGTTATCCGTCTTTTTTTAGGCATTCATCTTGCGTCAGCCCCTTTACGCCACGCTTGCTCTATTTTTAATCACCCTGCGCCGCTTTCTAATTTCTCTTCTTTCTGTTTCCCGACCTACTATCCTCTTGTCGCCCCGGTCTCCCACCTCCCTCTACCATCTTCACCTTTATTCCTGTCCTCATCTTTGTCCCCCCCCCCCACCCACTCGGAATCTCCTTTCTCCCCCTGCTTCTATTTGCCTCGCTCCTTCTTTTGCTTCCCGTCTCGCTCCGGCTCTGGGTAGCGCACAGCTGTAGAGCAGGGC